CCTTGCTGCTCTGTTGCTCTCTGTTCATGTTGCACCCTGGTGTGTGTGTGTTGGGGGTGGGCCAGTCAGACTGGGCACAATCCCGCACTGTATCTCTGGTGCTGCCCCCCGTAATAGTACTATGAGTCAGTAAAGGGACATCATGTAAGACTTTAAATCTCTAAGGGAGCAAACAGCCTCATCTTTCTTCTGAGAAGCAGCTGGTACATTTGAACCACTGACATTGAAGGTAGCAGCTAACATTTAGCTCACTGAGCCACCAGAGCTCCTTACAAAATCACTAGACAGTTGAATCAATAATGAGTAAGGATTAGCAAATTTCTGACAATAACTCAGATGTTTATGCAGCTATTTAAGAGTAAGAAATTAATTCATAGAGAAGTGCTCTACATCCTTGGGCTCTCAAGGGTGTAGCAGACCTTTGGCCATCCCTTCATAGCAACACACCTTGGCCTCTCAGCAGCTCCCGGGGTCTACAGAAGGTCAGAGAACCAGGTAGAATAACAGGTAGGACTTACCACACACTGCAATCTGTCAAAAAGTGATCCATTTCCCATATACGGATAAACCAGGCAGGACTTCTCGGTCTCTGTAAAATATGCAGCCAACTCCAATATGTTTGGATGATGAAACCTTGAAACAAAAGATACTTAAGTCCATACGGTTATTTATGCAAACAGGACGTGAACCATGCTCTGGCAGGGGGTGGGCAGGAAGGAATGGGGAAGGAGTCAAAAGTAGGATATAAATTTGGCCAAGCAAGAAGTGATTTCGTTGGATCCATTAAATGCAACTACACTTTCCAAATTGATCTACTGTGTTTTAAACTTACTAAGTAGTCTTTTCAATTGGTTGTGGTCATGGAAATAGAAAGAAAATACACAAATGTAAAGCAGAAATTTTAAGAAAATGAAAAATGTTTAAATTTGTGGTGTTGATGTCAAAATAAAAATAGACAACACTCCTTGATATTCACCTATTTTATCATGACTAAACACAACTAGGCTTGTTTATAAAATAAATTAATATATTAAAGGTAATGCAACTGAAATCATTCACTGCTTTAGATGTGCATGGGTACGTAAATTAACCCAAAATGAAGGACTGTTTTCATTCAGCAAACATTTATCGAGCACTACTATATCACATAGTGATTTGGCGTAATAGGTTATGTGTTGGGCTGCTAACATCAAGGTCAGCAGTTCGAAACCACCAGTTTCTCCAAGGAAGAAAGATGATATTTTCTAATCCCATAACAAGTTATAGTCTCGGAATCCCACGGGGGCGGTTATACCTTGCCTTATAGGGTTGCCATGCGTCAGAATTGACTTGAGGGCAGTTTGAATAGAAATTGTAAAACCAAGTACCACTAATTTCAAATCACAGATACCTGTGTCACCATGGCACACAGCCTCAGGTTCCTTCCTAAGGATCATTTACTACTGGGTTATTATCCAAGACTCTGGATTGAAAGCCCTTGGAAGGAGAAGGGAATTGTCCCTTAGACTTGCTGTCTGGGCAAAAGAGATCAGGTTTCTTGGAAGAAGTAACATCTAAGCAGGGCCTGAAGTGTGAGTGTTTTTTGTTTAATATTAAGAGATTAGCTTAAGCCCTATGTCTTAATATTGCCAGCTCATTAGAATCTGGCTTCTGATGCTTTTTATCCCTCCTTTCTCAGGGGAAGGGAAAGGAGCTAATGATTTTTGGAGATCTGGTGCTTGTTGAAGATTTACCTTTCATTTAATTTTCATAAGGACCTTGGGAAGTAGGATTCTTGACAGCTGAGCAAACAATCTCAGAAAATTAAATAGCGCTTCCAGATTCACACAGCCAATAGGACAAGAGCAGAAATTCAAACCCGGATTTGTCTGTCCCTCGTGCAAGCTGGCTCTGAGACCACATTCAGCCCCCAGGGGGCACTCAAGGGCATTTGTGGAATTGATTTTGAAAAGCCTCAGCTCTTGCTGACCTTCGGGTCTATATCATCTAAAATCCTGTTGATTTCAAAGCGGGTAGAAAGAGGTGGCTACGGGTAGAAAGAGGTGGCTACGAGGGTGAGTCTACAGGCTCAAGGCCCACAGCCTGTCTTGATGCCATGTCCACATTCCATGCCTTCTTCACTCAAGAAGCCATGTTTCCGCTTGATCCGTAGAATGTATGGTTTTGATTAGTCATCATATTTCAAAATAAATAATCAGTCCTTTCTGCTCTGTGGGCAAGAGCTCAGTTCACCCACCTCTGTGGTCTTCCATCTACTGCTCTCCAAAGATTTCCTTCTCTTTGAATCATCTTATCGTAGGGGACCAGGCCGGCAGTGATATAGATCAGCTGTTCAGACGACCAAATACAACTGCTCAATTCCTTTTCGGCCCAATGGCTTTCATTTTCTAGATGTGGTCTGAGCCATCAGAGGCCCTGGGGTCTGATACACACAGTCTCCTGGGTGTTTTTGACCTTTTTTACAAAGGTTGTGTGTGAGTGTGTTTATAGGAAAGCACTAAAGAAACCAGTTAAGGACATATTTCAAACCCTAAAAAGAAACCCAACTTTATTTTAATATGCCTAAGCACACCCAAGACACAGAAGGTGTTCAAGAACTAATTGTTGAATGGAACTAAGTTCACAGTATCTGTGAATTTCACATTTTATATTTCATGGTTGCTTCATGGGCCCTTTAGTCTTGCTAGCAAGATAACTAATAATGACACTCCAGGAATATTCAATACCCCAAAGCTGTCAGTTCTCCCTAAATTAATTTATAAAGTTAATACAGTTCCATTTAAGAAAAACAACAGAACTTTTTTTTACCTAGTCAGACTATTTTTGTTCCTATAGAAAATAACTTATCAATAAAAAAAAGAAAGAAAGAAAATAACTTATCAGAATAAATCCAAGTGGATGAGATATTTCAGTGTAAATAAAATGAAACCATAAAAGAACTAGGAAAAAAACGGGTGACTTATTTTATAACTTCCTTGGGGGGTGAGGTCTTTTTTTTAAAAATTTTTTTTGGGTGAGGTCTTTTAAACTATAAAATAGATTAGATATTAAAATGTAAAAAATGAAACCATAAAGGTACTAGAGGAAAAGAAAGCATGGGTGGATTATTTTATAACCTCCTAGTGGAGAAGGCCTTTAAAACTAGGATATAAAACCCAGAAAAGGAGGAATAGATAAATTTGACTATATCAAAACCATTTCTATGTGGCAGAAACTAGAATTAGCAAAGATAAAATGACTATCTCATAAAAAGTTATTTGTACCTCATAATATAAAAAATAGGGATAACTCTCTCGAATATATAAAATTCCAATATGCTAAAAAGCAACACCCTAAAACAAGCTGAGGGGCAAAGGATATTTTCAGATAATTTATAGAAAAGGAAATGCATCTCTTAAATGTATGAAAAGATTATTAAGCTCACTGATAATAGAAAAATTAATCTAAATTGCACGGAGAAATTATTTTTATATAGCAGAATGGCAAAAGTTAAAAGGTTGGCAAGAAGGTGGAGAACTAAGCACTCTCATATAGTACTGATATAAGTGTAAGTTAGTATAACTTGTGTTTGACTGATAATATGTCATGCACATAACATAACTATAACTTTATTTATGGTAATGTGTCCTGCATACATACAAATGTACACAAAATACCATATACATAACAATAATATCTACAAGAGCAAGGTTTTCTCATTTGTAGCATTACTGTTTGAAGAGTCAAGAAATTTTCTTTTTGTTTTTTTAGCCATATTTTTATATTTTTTTATTAATAGTATTTTACTGCATAGCATATCATCATCACATGAATGATTTTATACTTATAAAATTTTATATATGTAAAATACATATATATTTATATACCAAATCACTTTAAAATTGCTTTTATTACCTGCAAGTGAAACATATAAAAATAATTCTTTCCAATCCAACCACACAAGTTTAGTTGAGTAAATTTAGTCCAGCGTAGTAAAATAAGCAAAGTGAACCAGGTGTGCATGTGCATGCTACCTCTTCTGTGAAAATAAGAAACCAAAGTACATATTTCCTTGTGGGATGATATTCAGGAAACTGATTACATTGACAAAATCAGCTGGGTCAGTGGATGATCACAGTGGGAGAAAATGATTTCTCAGTTTACCCTTGTATACTTTGGAAAAGTCTGACTCCATTATTTATTTGTAAGCAAATAACAAAGCTGAGATGTAAAAATACTCTATTACAATTCTGGTGGTAGTTCCCCACGGACTAAATGGCATTGCACTGGATTGAATTATATCCTGGAAAACGTGTGTTGTAAATCCCAACTTCCAGGACAGTGGTTATAACCCCATTTGGGAATGGATTGTCTGTGTTATGCTAATGAGGCCAGACTAGCTGAGTGTGTACTTGGTGTCGATCTTTTTAAGACATTAAAGAGAACAAATGCAAGCTAGCCAGAGAGGTGGAGTAAGAGAGATGCCAACACACAGAGCTCTCTAAGGAACCAGGAACCAGATGGTACGCAGACAAGGACCTTCCTCCAGAGCCAACACAGAGAGAAACCGTTCCTCTAGAGCTGCACCCTGAATCCACACTCCGCACTGCCTGAACTGTAAGAAAAACGAGTACTTGTTTGTTCAAGCCATCCACTTGGGGTCTTTCTGCTATTACAGCAAGAAACCATTCGGGCAGAGTTTTGTACTGAAGAAGGGGGGGGGGCGGCGATGCTCTATATACATACCTACAGTGTGGAAGCAGTTTTAGAATTAGGTAATGAGTAGAGGTTGGAGGAGTTTTAGGGTACCTAATAGAAAAAAATCTCGAATGTCTTGAAGAAACTGGAGGGAGCATTATGGATGACAAAGGCGACTCTGGGGAGGGTTCAGAGGAAGTGAGAAGAGCAGCACAGGAAACATCTCTCTCGTCTTAGAGAATACATATGCCGCCAGCAACCGAATGCTGCTAGAAATGTGGATTTACATGTGCTTCTCGTGAGGCTTAAAACAAAAAAAAGGTGACCATGTGATTGGATAATGGAGGAAAAGAAATACTTTTTATGCGGTGGCACAGAACTCCTCTAAATTGCACTCAAAGGTTTGGTAGAAGGTGGAACTATAAGTAATGCACTTGGATGTCTGGTGAGGTTGCTAAGCAAAATCTTAACGTGGCCACTCGGTTTCTCCTTGTCACTTCAGTCGAATTCGAGAGGAAAGAGATGGGCTTAGACCAGAACTGTGCAAAATGAAAACAGAACCTAGACTTGGGCACAAACATTCTCGAATGTTCACTAAGGGTGTGGCAGCACAATCTTTGGTTCAAGAGATTAAGCCCGTGACTGATGAATCTAACCAACTACCACAGCAGAAAACCCATAGACTGAAGCGGACAGAAAGAATGAGAGAAAAGACGCTCCCTGCCGTAGATTCCACAGGCAGGAAATAGGTCAAAAGAGCTACCTCTGCAGCCCTTCAAGCACAGGACCCTCCCAGGAGCAGCGGAAGCATGGCCTTCTCAGTCTCCAGGGTGAGGCCATGATCGTCTGGGTCTCAAAGGGTGGGGTCACGGCCTCTTAGGTGTCAAAGAGTTGATCTTTGTGGACTTGATTTCAGAGTGTGTGGCTGACATTAGGTGTGCCAGGGGATGGGGCTGCCACCCACACTGAGAAGGTGAGGCTGCGATGATCAAGGGACAGAATGGGGTCTGCTGGGACCCACAGGGCTTGGGTTCCCATTCACAGGGACTAGGAGAATGGGTTTCCCAAAGCCAAGGGAGCAGAGTGGCCATCCCCGAGGGCCTGAAATGGAGAGCTGCAGCCCACGGTTCCGGGACCTCAATCCAGAAGGTGGAAGTCATGTCCAACCCAGAGTCTGGAGGGCAGAGCTCAAGGCTTGACAGCTAATAAAATGTGTTCTTTGGGGTTCGGGACTTGGTGCCTGAGCTCTCTTCTTTTCCTCCACTTGCTCCCATTTGTGAAGAGAATGCCTACCTTAGGCCTGTCCTACCACTGTACTTAGGAAATGGAGAACTTGTGATCTACAGTTCACAGGTTCATAGACAAAGAGGAGATTTGCTCCAGGATACAATACACCTAAACTTACAACCCATATTTGATTTACATGATTCAGAAGATGATTATTTTGAACTTGATTTAAGTCTTTTGAGGTGCTGTTGATGGTTTGTGTACACTTTGTTCGTGGCATGGACATGAATTTTGGGAGGCCAAAGGGTAGAATGTTATGGATTGAAATGCATCCATCCACGCCCCCCCTAATCCAAATATGTGAGATAATTCAGAACTTCTTTCTGTCTGTACCTGTGGTTATAATCCCATCTGGGAATGGTTTGTCTTTGTTATGTTAAAGAGGCTGGATTAGTATTGGTTGCATCTCTAGTCAATCTTTTGGGAGCGCTAAAAGAGAGGAACACTGATATTAGCAAGAAAGACAGGATAAGATCGATGCCAAGACACATGGGTGTCAAGAACCAGACAGCAGAAGCTGAAGAAACAAGGGTCTTCCTCCAAGTTGACCCAAGAGGAAGGCTTCCCTAGAGCTGGCACTCTGAATTTGGACTTTCAGCCTCCTCAGTGGTGGACATTTCTCCTTGGTAAAGCCACCCACTTGGGTCGTTTTTGGTGAAGTCTCACTAGAGAATGAGGTCGAGTCTATGTCAAGTTGTTCTGGTCCTACCAAAAAGAGGGGTTGGCTCAAAGCTCTCCCTCTCCCCTCCCACTCGGCATATTGGTTTAAAAAACACCTGAAAAGGAACATTTTTCTCTTTGTAAGGGATGATGAGGGGACTCCATAGGGTTAAGGGCCTTTAACGAGGCAAACTGCACAGCTGTAGCTATAAATACATATGAAAATGAAGTCATTTCAATTTATCCCCAAGGACTCTCAGACTCATGAATGAATTCCCAGAAAATAACATGCACATCAAAGCACTCGATTCCTTTGTCTGAAATGCTCTTCCTGAAAAGGGCTATAATGATGAAGCCGTTTCTACACTGGGAGGTCTCTCCGGAAGGGGAGAAGTGGTGAAAGATATACAATCGCAATGTTACAAGGATTATTTTACATTCAACCACGTTAGTCACACATGATTTAACCCACTTCTTTGTGACAGTTTCAAATGTGTTTTAAGGAGCATACTAAAGCAGATGTCAAAAATTTACCCAGTGTTCCAACATCTGACCCACATTTATTAAATGCCAACCATGCCAAGCAAGCACTGCGCTGTAGAGTCAAAGATGAGCAAGGA